AAGTCAACCAATATACTTGTGAAACTAGCATCCAGATCAAGTAACAGAACATAATCATCATCCCAGAAGGGCCTGGTGCCCCATTTAGTCTTTGTTACCTATAAAGGGTAATTTCCTGAGCTCTAACACTAGAGATTACTTTCCCAATATTGGAATCTTATATAAATGAAATCACATAGTATGTACTCTTTTGGGTGTGGCTTCTTTTGCCACACCCTTACCAGAGCTTGTGCCCCTGGGAGCCTTTAGCTTATCACTCCAGTCTTTTCTGCTTTTTCAGTGATGATCTCTTAGGGAAGAAATGGCAAAAGTTCTAACAAGTTCTGGGCAATATAGAGGGCTTGGAGGAATCTGCCTATTCATAATCTCTCTTGGTTAATAGTGGCCTGTACAACATGACTGACATTGGTCAGGCCCTTTCTAGACTCTGTCGCTCTCAAAGTAAAGCAGTGAGATGTTGACAAATAACACAAATTTCTGAAAGATTGATACTGTCACAAGGTATCTCAGGAAATACAATTATCTGTATACTCATTTGTAAGAAGCCAATTTTACTACATAGGCAATGAATATGTGTGATGCAAATGAACATCTTAATCATAATAAAAAACTGATGTGTGTAAAATAGAGTTTAAAATTTAAAATGAGTTTGAAAGTGATGGCAGGGGCCTGAAATTATATTTTGGTGGCTGTGTGTATGTGCGTGTGTGTGAACACTGGTGGAAAGGCTCATAGGATGTCTTTATGTAAATATTTCAGAAGACTGTTTATCTCCTAATAAAATATCCAAAACCCTGAAAGATTTACATTTTAGTTCTTGGCTTCAGATACAAGCTTTGCAATAGTAAGGTAGATTCAAGTGTTGCAGACATTCCAAATTCTACTGTATTAGGGAGATTGGTTGGCCAATGGGCAATCCTGCAAAAATCTCACCCATTTATTACATTTAACTGAAGTTTATTTGGTTTGAACAAAAAAAATCTACTGTAGCAAGGGTTTCTTTAAAAGCAGTAATAGCAAAATTTACAAATAACTTATTTAAAAATATTCTAAGGAGACAGTGACAACCTTAGAAAAGTTTCATGGCAGAATCTAGAATAATCCCAATACATGCAATGGGGCACATTGAAATTCTGAGAAGTAAAAAAAAAAAGTCTTTGTGTAGAAAATCTGGAGTGTGGTGCACCCACCAGGATAACTGAAACAAAACAAAACAAAAAAAAAGGTAATGATGATAATGGTGTCTCTCTTGCTTAACAGAAGCATTCTGGAAAACAACCCAAATTTTCATTGTTCCCAGCCCAAGCTGTGACATCAAGGACAAAAAATTTTGATGAATGTTACAGCCAGACATCAAAGGAACACCTGTAGTTTTCTGTCCATAAAACTGCAAGAAGCTGAACATAATGTAATTTCTTTGGTTACAGAAGATCCACAGGCTGCCTCATGCACTGAAAGAATGGGATCAAAACTCAGAGTGTAAAGGTGGGACTCTGAGCTGGCAGAATACAGAGAAACAAGTGAGAGTCCCAGGAGCACCCCACTTCCCATAATGAATTCATTGTCAAATCATGAATATATTACTCTCTGTGAAAATGGTATCTTTGGCCAGGCAGTTGTTATGTTATGTACTATGTATAGTACTTCAAAATATTCCTAGTTCAGCTTATGTTTCTTATAAGTATTGATTTTGTTAGTTTAAACTTAAATGTAAACAACAAATCTCTAAAGTTTGAACTCACTCAAAATTCTGAGAACTGAATTTTGCATATGAGAATTTAAAATTAATTCTAATTATATAAATTTAAGGGTAACCTGCCCATTTATCTACCATTTATCTGATACAATTTTTGTTTTAGTAAAATAAGACAACAGGGCTCCACACCAAAATTAGGTGGCTTAAAGTTTTCCACAAAGAATATTTTTATTCCCATTGTTAATTGCCCCTACAAAATTTTACAGGTGTTTACAAACAGCTGCTGATGAATATAAACAATATTCTTGTTAGATGGTGAGTGTTGTTAAATGGAATGAAAACAAAATGGCATCAGGATGAAAAGATAGTGCCTGAGAAACAGATGGAGAATCATAGAACCCCAGGGGATATTAATGGTCATCTAGTCTCACCCTCTTAATTTACAAATGAGAAAGTTCAGTCCCAGAGTGACTGGCTATTTGGTAGGGTGTGAGTTATAGCTTGTGACTCTGACTTCAACTCCAGAGTAGGAATTACTGGTAAAGATAGACAGTCTACAAGATGACCTCCAATGACCCTCATACTCCCCACTGAATCTGAGCTAGCTCTGTCTGACCAATAGAATGTAATGAAAGTGGCATTCTGGGACTTAAGACCTGTAGGCTAGGTCTAAAGAAGACTTGCATCTTCCACCTGGGCCTTCTGGAATGCTACATTTTGGGAAACCCTTCTCTCACGACCCTGTTGCCATGACATGGGAAGCTCAAGCCACATGGAGGACTTGTAGACATCCTAGTCAGCAGACCTAGTTGCCTTCCCTGTCAAACCCCAAACACTAACTGGCAGCTTCATTAATGTACCACTTTGCACATTCCCCCCTATAGAGCCTTCTGAAAACTCTATCCTTAGCCAGCATCTGACTCTAGTCACATGATAGGCTCCAAGTGAGACACATCCAGCAAAGTAGAGTGAACGCAGAGAACCATAAGGGACTATGGTAAAAATTGTTGTCTTCATCCATTAAGTTTTAGGATGATTTTTATGCAGCAATGAATGGATAATTGAAACAGAGATAGAACTAAAAAGGGGTCCAGAATCTCACTCCTTTACTTATGCATGTGATGAGTAAGTTTCATATGCATTACTTTGTTGGGAACCGCCGTGACTGGTATCAGGAGCTGAAACCCCCGCCTAGGCTAAGGCTAAGGGAACGCCCTTGGAACTGTAAGCCAGCAAGGAGACAAAAGCTTATCTTCCTGACGGGAATATTCCTTCTGCTGCTTTATTCATGACTGAACCCCAAAAAGCTTGGTCGGTTAGCCAAAGACGGGTAAGATTCCCCACGGGGGGAACGACCTAAGACAGGCACGATCACTTTGGGAGGCCCCCCAAAAGAAGGACTTGGGGGGCTGCAGCAAAAGGGGGTGATGGACCCTCGCTCCTCGGCTTTGACATAGCCTGAGTCCTCAACGTCTGGGAGAAAATCTCCTTATCCCTTGGCTGCCTTAGTTCCCTTGCTCTACCTAAGCCTGAAACAATGACAGAGTGGTGCAGCTCTGTACTGAGAAGTGCGGATTCCCCGGGGTGATCAGGCCTAAGAAAGAACATGTAAATTACTGTGAAACCTTCTTTGTTTAGAATGCTCTCAGTTGAATGAGAAGGGTCTTAGGAGGAAGTTAATTTGTTCCTCAGTCTTACAGCTCTTTGACCCCCAACTCAATAGACCGGCAAAGTTCTTGGTTTTCTATGGTTCCTTACTTCCCCCTAATGAGTACTGTACTTTACCTGAATTATTATGCAGAATGAGCCCAATAAAAGCAGGTATGGACTGCAAATCAGGGCGCTCCCCACTGGGGGGGGGGTGGCCATTTCGTCCCTACTTCCCCACAGAAACTAGTCTGTCTCTGTGCATGTGTTTTTTCTCGCGTGTTTATCGTTGAGCCATCCGCAGCGTTTCCTGGTCATTAATGGCCGGTGACCCACGCGCAACATTACTTCATCAAGGAAATTGTCTTCCCCTCTCTTTAAACCAAAGCATGACATGACATGACATATCTCAAAGCATGAGGTCTGACTCAGACATCCAAAGTCAATGATGTCTTCTTTTTATCATTCTAAATTCTCTAACCCTGAACTTCCCTAAAAATGACAATAAACTCAAATGCCATTTGTTAGTCATTAATGCTAAGTGTGTTTACACTCATTTAATCTTCACAAAACCATTACGAGATCTGTTCTGTTACTATCCCCATTTATGTATGAAGAAACTGAAGCACAAATGAGTTTACAAAAACTTGATGTACACCATTAAGCTACTAAGTATGCAGATGCCAAACCCTCAACAATCCAACACCCCCTCCAGGGTTCAGGGAATACACCCTCCCTCCATCCAGGGCCCAAGTGATACCCCCTGACTCCATCTAGTATCCCACAGAATAGTCCCTTGGTTTAGGAAATACTCTCTCCCTCCATCCCAGGTACAGGGAATACCCTATACCTGCATCCAGTCTCCCACAGAATAGCCTCACCATCTCCAGGATTTAGGAAATGCCCCTACTGTCCAAAAAGGTCTAGGGAATACCCTCTGCCTCCACCCAGGATGCCAGGGATATCCCCTCCCCAAACCCAGGATCCAGGGAATGCCCCCTCCTCCCATCTAGGGTCCACAAAACACCTCCTCCCTCCATTCAGGGACTAGGAAATGCCCCCTCCCTCCATCCAGGGTCCCAGGACACCCCCTCGCTCCATCCACTATCCCACAGAATAGCCCCACCCTCTTCCAGGGATCAGGGAATACCCACTCCCTCCATCCAGAGCCCAGGGAATACCCTCATCGTCCTCCAGGGTCCCAGGGATTATCCCCTCCCTCCCTCCCTCCCTCCCTCCAGTGTCCTAGAATAGCCCCTCCTTCAATTCAGGTCCTCGGAGTACCTCTTTCCTCCATTAGGGTTTAGGGGAATACCGCCTCCCTCCATCCAGAGTCCAGGGACTAACCCCATCCTCCTCCAGGGTCCCAGGAATACACCCTCCCTCCATCCTTGAAGATCCCGAGCTGTTGTGATGGGACATGGGTGACTGAAGTGACTGCTGCACGCCTGTTCTAAAACTTGAGCGGCGAGGACTTTGCACACACGAATCAACGAAACACCTTTACTTATTTGGCAACCAATAACTTTTGGAAGTAACGATAAAACTCAAACGTTCAAACTTCAGTGAACCTTTCGTAGGGCAATATGGCAAGAGGCATGCTCTGGCACGGTGACCAGGGAGGTCACCCCGCGGCTATCAGGAAAGCAGTCCCGGCTCAGTTCTCGCTGTCGCCCAGGGTGAGCTTGCCGAAGAGGTACTCCGCCAGGCTCTCTTCGGGAGCCCCCAGCCTGCGCAGGTTGACCACACTTGCTGCCACGTTTCTGATGAACCTCACATCCTGGCGCAGGTGGTGATGCTCCAGGAAATCACACAGGTGGGCGTCGTTCTTGATGGTAGCCAGGTGGAATAGACCGAGCAGGCTCTGGTTTACCATCCTCTCCATCTGCAAGGCGTGTTTCATGGCCGTGCGGCCGCTCTCCCAGCGGCTCGGTCAGGCCTCCGGATGTCGCCCAGGCGGATGCGACCCCCTCGCTGGTTCTGCAGCCGCATCAGCGTCTGCACTCGATCCCATTCCTCCCTCCACTGCCACAAGAAGAAGGTAGCGAAGTGCTTCAAGGCCACTTCCTGGCGGTCGAAGTAGAAGGCCATGGACAGGTACACGTAGGAGGCGTGGAGCTCCAGGTTGATGTGCTTGTTGAGGGCGGCCTCGCACTCCCGGTGGTAGTTCTGGCGCACCAGCGAGGGAGGCGGCGGCTGCGGGGGCTGCGGGGGCTGCGGGGGCGGCGGGGGCCCCTCCATGGGAGGCTCAGGAAGCAGGGCTGGAGGTGCAGGCAGCAGGGCTTGCGGGTCGGGCTCTCCCGCCAAGAAGGCCAACAGAGCGCCGCGACGAGGGCTGAGAGGCGGGCTGCGGATCGGGCAGCGGCGTGGGCGAGGCGGCGGCGTCGCGGGCCCCGGATCATCCCCATGGTGGTCGGTGAGGGCAGCTGGAGGCTCGGTCGGCAGCGATGGCGGTGGAGACCGCGGAATGACCCCGCGGAGGGCGACCAGTGTGGCCGCACACAGGCGTCCTCGGGCGCTAGGCCGCAGGCGGCGGGCTCTGAGGTGGCCGCAGAAAATGGAGGCCGGGGCCGGAAGAGGGCAGAAGAGAGCCCTCGCTACGCTACTCGCGCGAGGGTTGGACGGGGTGGGATTGGGGGAGGATCCCCTGGGAGGGCCGGCGCAGAAGGGGTGCTGCAGGGGGGGCCTAAGTGGGCAGAGCGCCATCAACGTGTTCCACGGTCCATCGCAGCCTGGGTGAGGGCAAGGAGAATCTATTCCGAGCACCTGGCCTTTAGTATGTTTTCCTTTATGCTATTACAGCGGGTCCCCGCTTTTTGCCCCTTCTCCCGCCTCGACGCAGCCCCACCCCCCACCAGGCCATTCCCATACCTTTGTTTGGGTCCATGGCTCGTGCATATGTGTTCTTTGGCTAATCCCTTCACCTTCTTTTCTCCAGCACCCCGCCTGCCCCCACCACCTCCCCTCTGACAGGTCCTGGCCAGAGGGCCTCAAACCTTTCTCATTTTTGAAGTCGTATGAGTGATAGAAACCTACTTAGTTATAATCCTTGATAACTTGAGTTATAATCCTTGCTACCTGCAGGTAGCTGCAGCTTTGGAAAGGACTCTGGAGTGATAAAGGTGAAAGGGGATTCTGGCTATTTAAAACAAACTCCTTTCAGCCATAAGTGAGTTTATGATGATGAGGTAACTTTTGGGAGTGACCTGAGGATGGAGGACTGGTTGCCAGGGGAACCAAGTGTGTTATTAGAGGGTTGGGGCTTTCAGGCCTTCATCCTGACCTCTGGGGGAGGGAGAGGGCTCGGAGGTTGACTTTCTCAGGAATGGCCAATGATTTAGTTAATCATGCCTATGGTAATGAGGCCTTCATTAAAACCCTAAAGCAAGGGGGTTCAGAGAGCATCCGGGTCGGCGAACACACGGAGGTCCTGTGAGGGCCATGCAACTAGAGCAGTCAGGAAGCTCCGTGTTCCTTCTCACCATGCCTTGCCCATGCATCTCTTCCACCTGGCTGATCCTGAGCTGTATCCTGTTATAATAAAGCTGGTAATCTAGTCAGTCGGTAAACTCTTTTCCTGAGTTCTGTGAGCCCTTCCAGAAAGTTGTCAAACTTGAGGAGGAGGAGGTCACAGGAACCTCCAATTCATAGCCTATTGGTCAGAAGCACAGCTGAGAACCTAGACTTGCAAGCAGTGCCTGGAGTGCAGGATGTAAAGCAATCTCGTGGGACTGAGTGCTTAACCTGTGGGATCTAGCTCCAGGTAGTTAGTGTCGTTACTGAACTTTAGGTCTTCCAGTTGGTATCTGGAAAGTTGGAGAACTGGTTGGTGTGGAGAAAAAATGGACACATTTGTGGTCAGAAATGTACTCATTAGTAATGGACAACTTTATGTCAATAAATTCAACAATGGAGCTGAAAACACTATAGGTTCACCTAATGCATGAATTAGATACAAAAAATTCTAAATACAAATGTTAGTAAAACAAATCCACATGACCATGGTGTATACATGTAGTCACCCATGTTCACTCAAGAGGAAATATTTACCCGAAACAGCCTTGTAAAGTGAGTTTGGCAGTCTTCCCTGCTCTCAAAATGTTTTTGAATAGCATGAGAAGGAGAGATGTTAGTTCTTGGAATGTTTGGTAAAATTCACCTGTGAAGCCATCTGGTCTGTGGCTTTTGTTTGTTGGGAGTTGTTTAGTTTAGTTTAGTTTTGTTTTGTTTTGTGTTTAATTAACTGCCCTGATTTCCTTAGTTGTAAGCCATCTGTTCAGTTTTCCTGTTTCTTCTTCTTCTTTTTTTTTAAAGAAGGTAATGTGTTTTTTTAAAGATTTTATTTATTTATTTTTAGAGAGGGAAGGGAGGGAGAGCGAGAGAGAGAGCGAGAGCGAGAGAGAGAGAGAGAGAGAGAGAGAGAGAGAGAGAGAGAGAGAGAGAGAGAAACATCAATGTGCGGTTGCTGGGGGCTGTGGCCTGCAACCCAGGCATGTGCCCTGACTGGGAATCGAACCTGCGATGCTTTGGTTCGCAGCCCGTGCTCAATCCACTGAGCTATGCCAGCCAGGGCTGTTTCTTCTTAATTCAGCTTCAGAAGATTGCATGTTCTTGAAATTTATTCATTTCTTCCAGATTATCTAATTTGGTGGCACATACTTGTTCGTAATAGTGTCTTTTGCTACTTACACACCTTAAACACAGATATTATTGTATCAGTTTCATCCACCTAGTGGGTGGGTGATCAGTGCCCACTGTGGATAAATAACACCTACCGTGCATGAATGAGTCAACATAGCAGGACTGGCAGTGCTGTCTTTAGAAAGGCCTCCTCGCAAGGTTGGGCCTTGAGCCTGACTGACATTTGGGGAGTGTTCCCATCTTTCCTAATTGGTTAGAATGTCGTTATGCCTGGAGTGGGAAAGCAATATAGTTTGTGCTGAACACATGTTTTGTTTCTGTGTGTATGAAGTCTTGGTACTTGCTAAGCCAAGGGTGCCTACACACCCAGCCCCCGATACAAACCTGGAACACTGGGCCTCAGAGTTATCTACATGATGGTTCCACTTGGACGACCAATGGGCATCTCGGGTTTTACATAATATGGCAGTCCCATCCTTCTACCCCAGACATGCCCCTGGAGAAATGTTCCCAGATTAATAAACAGCACTGCCATCAACCCAGGTATTCAATTCTAAGCACCAGAAAGAACCCAGATTATTTTCCTCATCTCTCACTCTTCACCTCTGGCCCATAAGCAGAGCTTATCAGCTCATCCAATCCATGTGGAATTTGCCCACATGTCTTCATTTTCTCAGTCACCACCATAGTTCGACCCCCAGTGCCTTTCACCTGGGCTAGCTACAAGATCTCTTAACTGACCTCCCCACTTCAGCTCTCCCCCACCTTCTACATTCTCCAAAGCACTGAGTCACTGATAACGTGCAGGAGAATTTATGCTACTTCATATTCAATATTAGAAATTTGACCTTCAGCCTTGACCTTGTATTTTTTCAGTCCTATGGAGCTAATTTGGGGTTTGGGGGTACAATGTTGTGCCAATGGAAGGGAGAGTACAAGTGAAGCAAGAAACTATATTTGGATGTTTTGTAAGGATAATATGCATGACCATCATCGGGGACCTTGGGAAGTCACTCCCATGTCTCTGGGAAAGCCAGCCTAAGGCTCTGCTATCATTGCAGTTGCTCAGGGTGAGCTTGTCAAAGTGGTACTCTGCGGAGATGGCTTCAGGGGTCTTCATATTTCTACACAGGTATTGTTAAGAAACATTAATATTTGCATATTTTAGCAAACTAAAAACCTTCAGGTAAAATGTAAGAACCCTCTAATTCTTGCCCAATCTCACTCCCTTTATTGTTTCTCCAGTGGCAAGCACAGCAATAATTTTAAGGCCAGGCCTTGTATTTTGAGCATGGACATGCATCTATTTTCACCAGGGCATCAGACAATCCACATGACCGCCCCCTGCCATATACTATTTGGTTTCTAAGGAGCAGATAAATTATGCATTTTCCAGGGTCCCAAGGAAAACCCTCTCACTCCATCCAGCGTCCAGGGCATACCTGCTCTGTCCACCCAGGGTCCCAGGGATACCCACTTCCTCTAGGGTCCAGGGAATACCTCCTCCCTCAATCTAGGGTCTAGAGAATACCATCTCCCTCAATCCAAGGTCCAGAGGATAACTTCTTCCTCCTTTCAGGGCACAGAGAATATGCCCTCCCTCCATCCAGTGTCTAGGGAACATACCCATCCTCCTCCAGGGTACCAGGACACCCCCTCCGTCCATTCAGGGTCAGGGAATAGCGCCTCCATCCTTACAGGGGAACAGTGATACTCCCTCCATGTAGTGTCCCACTGAATAGCCCCATCCTCCTCCAGGGTTCAGAGAATACCTCCCCCACCATTCTGGTCCCAGGAACTATGGCCTCCCTCCCTCCAGAGTCCAGGGAATATACCCATCCTCCTCCAGGGTCCCAGGGGTACCAACTCCCCCCATCCAGGGTTCAGGGAATACCTGCTCCCTCCTTCCAGAGTCTCAGGAATACCCCTTCCCTCCATCCAGTGTCCCACAGAATGGACTCACCCTCCTCCAGGGTTCAGGGAATACCTCTCCTCTCCACTCAGTGTCCCACAGAATAGCCCCACACTCCTCCATGGTCCAGGGAATACCCCCTCCCTCCATTAATGGTTCAGGGAATACCCCTGCCTCATTCGAGGGGCCAGGGAATACCCTTTTCCTCCATCTTGGGTCCCACGGAATACCCCTCCCTCTATCCAGTCTTCAGGGAATAGCCCCTAAGTCTTTACAGGGACACAGTGGTACTCCCAGGATCCAGGGGATATCTCCTCTTTCCATTTGGGGCCGAGGGAATGGCCCTCCGTACATCCAGGGCCCAGGGAATAACCCCACCCTCCATCCAGGGTCCAGGTGATACATCCTTCCTCCATCCTGGGTCCCGCAGAATGCCCCTCCCTCTATCCAAGGCCCAGGGAATACCCTGCCCTGTATTCAGTGTCTGGGGAATAACTCCTCCCTCCATGCAGGATCCTACACAATAGCCCTACCCTCCTCCAGGGCCCAGGGAATACTCCCTCTCTCCATCCAGTGTCCCACAGAAGAGCCCCACCCTCTCCAAGGTTCAGGGAATACCCCCTCCCTCCATGTAGGGTCCACAGAATACCTCCTCCCTCCATCCTTGGAGATACCAAGTTGCACTTCATTGGGGCATGGGCGGGGGTGCAGTGGTGGAAAGACTCCCACATACCTGTTTTAAAACTTAAAAGGCGAGGGTTTTGCACACATGAATCGATGAAACACCTTTATTTATTTAGGAACCAATAACTTCATTGGAAGAAATGGTAAAACTGGAACATAAAAACTTAAGTGAACGTTTTGAAGGGCAATATGACAATAGGCATGCTCAGCACGGTGACCAGGGAAGTCACCCCGTTACTGTTGGGAAGGCAGTCCAGGCTCAGTTCTTCTCGCTGTCGCCCAGGGTGAGCTTGTCAAAGAGATACTCTGCCAGGCCGGATTCCGGAGCTCCCATCTTGCGCAGCTTGATGACGTGGTCCCCCAGCTCTTTGATGAACATCACCTGTTGGTGCAGGTAGTGCCTCTCCAGGAAATTGCACAGGTGGCCGTCCTCCTTCTCGGTGGCCAGCTGGTGCAGATTCAGCAGGCTCTGGTTCACTTTCTTTGCCAGGTGCAAGGCGCACTGCATGGCACTCAGGCCACTCTCCCATTCGTCCCAGGGAGGACTGCTGATGTCCTGCAGGCGGATTCGGCCCCCGCGCTGGTTCTGCAGCTGCATCAGCTTCTCTGCATGCGCCTTCTCCTTGTTTGACCTCTGCAGGAAGAACTGGCTGAAGTGCTTCAGGGCCACGTCTTCACGGTCAAAGTAGAAGGCCATGGACGAGTACACGTAGGAGGCATGGAAGTGTACGTTGATGTGGGTGTTGACGGCGGCCTCACACTCAGGGTGGTAGTTCTGACGCACAAACGAGGGCTGGGACAGCATCTCCATGTCTTCAGGTGCAGGCGCGGGGCACCAAGACTCAGGTGGTGCTGAAGTCGGGGCTGCTGGGTGGGCTGCAACAGGGGCAACTGTGGAGGCTGTGGGGCCTTAGAGTGTCTCCGCGGTGGAAGACTGGGAAGGCTGCGGGCCCTTGGAGTGTCCTGCAGTGGCGCAAACACAGGCGTGCTCACGTGTCAGGCCTCATGCGCTGCAGTTGGCTCTGAGGTGAGGCCAGAAAAAAAAACGACCCACTCAATAGTGTTCAGTGAGGGGGGAGGCAGCATTCTGTATGTGATGGGGCTTGGGGTTTGAGTCAGGGGATGGCCATGTTGGCAGGGGTGCTTGAGGGGGACCTAAGGGGGCCAGCGGCATTGACACTTTTCAAGTTCCATGCCAACCTGGCTGACAGGGCCTCTCAGTGCTGGGCATCTGGCAGGGATGACATTTTAAAATGTTATTCAGGAATACGAGTGCTACTGATTTGAGTCAATCACCTGCATGATTTATTTGAGCAGCTTATTTGAATATTGCCCTAATGTGATTGTTTCATTAAACATAGCCCTTTCGTGGTATCATGGGTTACATTTAATATCACAAAGCTTTGTTCAAATGACTTTGCAGGGACATGAGGACAGTTCCAACAGCCCGGCTGACTTCCTAGACCTTGTTCCTCCAGTGATCTCCCCTTTCTCCCCCATTCATGATCAGCTTCACATTTCACTGGCAGCAGACCAGGGCCTCCAGCCTCTCAGTGACTCGGGCACCTCTCCATCTTTCACTCTTGGAATTTGTTCTTCACTCGCTTTACTCTCCCCTGTCTTAATCTTTCAGAGCAGTCCTGGAGACACTCTTCCTTCTGCCCTGTCTGCACCCCATGTGGAATGTGGGTGACCTCATCACTGACCCCCTAGAGGCCTTCACCGTTACACCTGGCTTGCCAGTCAGTCTCTGTCCTTTTAGGTGAGCAAAGACTTCAGTTTCCTCTGGCAGGAAACAGAAGATTTAGGTACACCCTTAGAAAAAGCACTTAACCATGTGGATGTATTCATCCCCTCCAACCTCATTTGTAGTTTCACTGCCACTCAGCAAACATTTTGTTTTAAAGCTTTCAGTTAAGTTCTAAGGAACACACCACAGTAGTTGAGAATACCACTGATCTCAAATTGCCTTTCATTCATTCAACAAACACTTATTATCTAAAAAGGCCCAGGCACTAGTCTAGGGTTTGAGAAAATACTAGTAACAAAGAGAGACTACAGAACTATGAGAAGGGTTTTAGGAGCTCTGGACAGGAGCTGGGGATGAAAACCAAAATATATATTTCCTATAATACAGTATCAAAATTGTATTTTCTGTTCATCCTTTGAGTAAGTGTATGATCCATAGTGATGTCTTCTTTCTCATTCTTGAAACTGGTAATTTGTCCTTTTTTTTTCCTCCTTCTGTCTTCTCCTCCCTCAGCTTTTCCCTCCTTCTTCATCTCCTCCTCCTCGTCCTCCTCTTTCTCCTTCTCTCTCTGGTTAGCCTGTCTAGAGATTTATGTTTTTATTTGTTTGTTCAATTTTCTCAAAGAAACTGCTTTGATTTCATTGATTTGATAGAGTTTTTGTTTTTCAATGGGACCCATGACACTGTTACCTACTCCTCTCTTTATAATTTCCTTTTTTCTGCCTGACTTGGGTTTATTTTAGTCTTTTTCTACTTTTTAAGGTTAAAAATTAGATAATAGATTTGAGACCTTTCCTATTTTCAAATATAGGTATGCAATGATATAAATTAACATGCAAGTACTGCTTTAACCTACAGATGTGGATAGGCTGAGTTTCCATTGACATTAAATCCCAAATAATTTCTTTTTCAACACTTGGGATTGTTTGAAATGTATTATTACTTTCCAAATATTTGAGTGTTTTTCAGATATCTTTATGTAATTATTTCTAATCCAATTTCATTGTGATCAGAGAACATGTCTTTCATGATATGAATAATGTTATATGTATTGAACGTTGTATGGTAGCTTAGGATATGGTCTATTTTGGTAAATGTTCTACATGCACATGAAAAAATGTGCTACTAAGGAATATGCTTGTACAGTTTCTTCACTCTGACTCTATGACTTTTCCTAACATGAGTACATGATTTCTTCTTTTTAATTATTTTTCTTCTGATTATAACAAATAATACCCAATGGTGGCCTGCAGAGAAAACTCTCTGGTTTCTGGAATCTGTGAATGTATTGGATATTCAAAAAGTAGGTATTTTCATTCTTAAATGCTTAAGAAATGATCACTGAATTGTGTTCATAAACTAAACACAGACACTATTTGCACACACATGCACCCACACAAGAAAAAATGTCATTAGGAAACCCGAAATTATGAGGGATTCTTGAAAGACAGGAAGAGCAGAGGCTACCAGATTGGTTAATGCAGAGAATTTGAAACAACTATAGCAGAAAACCTGATCACATTCAGAGAAAGTCTAAGAAGAGAGTAAATGAAATTGCAGCACTGTAGAGGGTCCTTAGTCAACTGTGAAATTAAAGAGCTACTCTGTGAACAGCAGGCCTGCTTTACCCTGCTCTGCTCTAACCCTCCCCCAGCCCTACTCACACAGGGCAGTATGCAGCTGTGGCATCTGACCCTTTTCATCTCCCCAAACTACACTCCAAAGACAGTGAATGAGCTTAAGGCAATTACAGACTTGCAGAGAAGGGAAACAATAGGACACATCCACCTAGAAGTAAAAAGCATTAGTCTCCCAATGTCAGAAATATATTTAATTTGGCCACAAGGAGTGTCCCTTTCCTACCTATAAGCCATGCCATGTATCCTCGAAGGAAAAAGCCACTGAGTAATTCAGCACAGTCCAGCCTTCCATTACAGCCGAAGCCCTGTAGTGAAATGCACATCACAACTCCAGATCAGACCAGTGCTAATTAACTTAGTTGATCAAGGAAGTCCTTTATTCCTAACTATAAAGGAACACAGGTTTGCCAAATGTATGAGGAAGATAAAAGAAAACAGGACAATGAGTGCACAGAACTATTTCCAGGTAGGGGGAATCCAGATATAACACAGGAAACAGAAGAGAATTTTACCAAAAATTCAAATTCATATTCTCATAACTATAAGGGAAGAAAATAGATTTATAAAATAAAAATGTCTACTATACAAAGAATTAGAGAACAGATAAAGTTCTTGCAAAATAGAAACGTTATTACAAAATTGAAAACATTAAATGTCAAGAAGTCAGAACAGATTCTCCCTGCCTCACCCAGGCTGTGATGGAACCTGGAACATCCCGCTGGTGCACTGCCCACTTAGACCCCCCTGAGGCCCCCCTTTACCACTCCCCCCTCCCAGGGATCCTCCTCGCACCGTCTCCAGAACACTCGCGAGAATTGGTCACTTTTTTCCGTCTTCAGGTCCCAACTTCCATTTTCCACTTCCATCTCAGAGCCAACCAGCAGCCTCCTGCTGCAGACCGCTGGAGCACCACCCCTCTGAGGTGCTTCTCAGTCACCAGGGGACGCTCCGAGGCTTCCCTGCAACTCCAGCTCCCGCTTCCAGGACTTCTTCGCTTCGGTGCCCCCACCCGCACCCGCGCTACCGAACATGGCGACCGCATTTGCGCCCTGGCACGTGCGTCAGAACTACCACCCCGAGTGTGAGGCCGCCATCAACAACCAGGTCAACTTGGAGCTGTTCGCCTCCTACGTGTACCTGTCCATGGCCTTCTACTTCGACCGTGAAGACGTGGCCTTGAAGCACTTCAGCCTGTTCTTCCTTCGGCAGTCGAACAAGGAGAGGGAGCACGCGGAGAAGCTGTTGTGGCTGCAGAGCCAACGTGGCGGCAACCCCCGCCTGTGCAACATCCCCAGGCCTGAGGAAGACACCTGGGAGAATGGCCTGAGGGTCATGGAGTGCGCCTTGCAGCTGGCAAAGACAGTGAACCAGAGCCTGCTGAGTCTGCATCAGCTGGCCACCGAGAAGGAGGACGGCCACGTCTGCAACTTCCTGAAGCGTCACTACCTGCATGAACAGGTGATGTTCATCAAAGAGCTGGGGGACTACATCACCAACCTGCGCAAGCTGGGGGCCCCGGAAGATAGCCTGGCAGAGTACCTCTTTGACAAGCTCACCCTGGGGGACAGCAAGAACAGCTGAGCCGGGACTGCCTTCCCCATAGCTGCGGGGTGACTTGCCCTGGTCACCGTGCCAAGCATGCCTGTCGCCATATTGCCCTACAAAATGTTCAGTTAAGTTTTTATGTTCGAGTTTTATCATTACTTCCAAAAATTATTGGTTGCTGCATAAGTAAAGGCGTTCCATTGATTTGTGTGTGCAAAATCCTCGCTGTTTAAGTTTTATATAATAGGCAGGCAGGATAACTTCAGTCGCCCATGTCCCAACCCGTGCAGCTGGGGATCTTCAGGGATGGAGGGAGGAGGTGTTCCCTGGACCCTGAATGGATGTAGGGAGTATTCACTGAACCGTGGAGGAAAGTGGTGCCATCCTGTGGGACACTGGATGGAGGGAGGGGTATTCCCTGGGACCTGAATGGAGGGGGAGTGTATTCCCTGGGCCCTGACTGGAGGGACAAGGTATTCCATAGGCTTTCAATGGAGGGAGGTGCATTCTGTGTCACCCAGGTTGAGGGAGGACTACTACCTGGACCCTGGATGCAGGGAGAGGGTATTCCCTGGACCTTGGAGGGTGGGAGGGAGTGTTCCCTGCAACCTGGATGGAGGGGGGAGGTATTCCAAGAGACCCAGGATGGAGGAAGTAGGTATTCCCTGAATCCTGGATGGAAGTAGGGGGATTCCTTGGAACCCAGAATGTAGGGAGTAGGTATTTCCTTGATCCTGGAATGAGGGAGGGGATATTCCCTCAACTCAGAATGGATGGAAGAGGTATTCTCTGGACACTGGATTGAGGGAGTGGTTATTCCTTGGGCACTAAATGGAGAGAAAAGGTATTCACTGGACCCTAGATGGAGGTAGGGGGCATTCCCTGGACCCTGGATGAGGCAGATGGTATTCTCTGGGTCCTGGATAGAGGGAGGAGGTATTCTCTGGGCCCTGTGTGGAGGGAGAGGGGTTTCTTCTTTTGGCCCTAAATGGAGGGGCATGGTATCCCCTGGGCCTTGAATCTAGGGAGGAGCATTCTGTGGGAGCCAGGCTTGAAGGAAGAGTATTCCTTAGACCCTAGATGAAGGGAGAGGGCATTCTCTGGACCCTGGATGGAGAGAGGAGGTGTTCCTGGGGCTGTGGATAGAGGGAGGGGCTAATCCCTGTACTGTGGATGGAGGAAGGTCATTTTCCCTGAACCCTGGAGGAGGGTAGGGTTATTCTGTGAGACAGTGGTTGGAGTGATATGGTATCCCTGGGACCCCGGAAGCAGAAATGGGTTATTCCCTTACCCTCAATGGGAGGAGGGGGCATTCCTGTGTTCTGGATGGAGGGAGGACGTTTCCTGGACCCTGGATGGAGGGAGGATGTATTTACAGGAAACCTTGATTAAGGAGGGGGTATTCCCTGAACCCTTGAGGAGGGTGGGACTATTCTGTGGGGCACTGTATGGAGAGAGGGAGTATCCCTGGGAACCTGGAAGGTGGGAGGCAGTATTACCGGGCTGGATGATGGGAGAGGGTATTACCTGGATCCTGGATGGAGAGAGGGTGTATTTTTTGAACCCTGGAGGAGGGTGAGGCTATTCTGTGGGACACTGCATGGAGTGACAGTGTATCCCTGTGACCTTCGACATAGGAAGAGGGTCTTCCCTGAACCATGGATGGAAGGGAGGGGTTTTCCTTAGGGCCTGAATGGAAGCAGTAGGTATTCCCTGAACCCTGGATGGGAACCCTGGAGGGACCCGTATCACCTGAGTGTTGGAGGGAGGCAGGAGCATTCTGTGCGACCCAGGATGGAACATGCAGCTGTTCCCTGCACCTTGCATGGAGAGTAGGGTTATTCCCTGAACCTCTGAGAAGGGTGGAGCTATTTTGTGGGACCCTGGGTAGAGGGAGGCAGTATTTTCTGGACAATGGATAGATGGAGAGGGTATTTCCTGGGCCCTGAATGGAGGGAAGAGGTACTCCCAGGACCCTACATAGATGGAGGAAGTGGTCCCTGTAACCTGGATGGAGGGAGGGTGTATATCCTGCACCTTGATGGAGGGAGGGGGTATTCACTGGAACATGAATGGAGGTAGGAGTTATTTCCTACACCTTGGATGGAAGGAGAGGATATTTCCTGGCCCTGGAGGAGGGTGGGGCTATTCTGTGACCCTGGATGCAGGGAGGAGGTATACCCTGGACCCTGGATGGTGAGAGGGGTATTCCTTGGAAGCTGGATGGAGGAAGGTTGTTTTCCTTGGACCCTGGAGGAGGGCGGGGCTCTTTGTGGCACAATGAATGGAGTGAGGGGATATACCAGGCACTGTGGAAGGAGGAATGGGTTATTCCCTGGACCTTTGATAAAGGGAGTGGGTATTCCCTGGGCCCTGTATGGAGAGAGAAGGTATTCCATAGATGCTGGATGGATGGAAGGAATTTTCCCTGGACCCTGGATGGAAGGTTGGACTGTTCTCTGGCCCTTGAAGGAGGGTAGGGGTGTCCCCTTAACCCTAGAGGAGGGTTGGGCTATTCTGAGGAACACTGGATGAAGGTGGGGGTATTCACTGGGCCCTGGATGGAGGGATGGCGTTCCTTGGGACCCAGGGTGGAGTGGGGGTATACCATGGGCATTGGATGGAGAAAAGGGGTATTCCCTGAACCCTGGAGTAGTGTGCTGCATTCGTTGGAACCCTGTTTTGAGGAAGGCCATATTCCCTGGGACCTGGATGGAGGGAAGCAGTACTCCCTGGACCCTGGATGGAGGGAGGGTGTATTCCCTGCACCCTCTAAGGAGGGTGGAGATATTTCCTGAACTCAGAATGGAGGAAGGAGGTATTCCCTGGTCCATGCAATGAACAAGGGTATCTTTCCTGGGCCCTGGATGGACGGAGGAGGTATGCCCGGGACTCTAGATGGACTGAAAGTGTATTCCCAGAGCCCTGGATGGAGTTAGGGGTTATTCCTTGAATCCTTCAGGAGGGTGGGCCTTTTCTGCAGTTCAGTGGATGGAGGAAAGTGGTTTGCTAGCTTCCTGGATGGATGGAGAGGGTGTTCCCCAGACCCTGGAATGAGGGAGTGGTGTATTCCCTGAACTGTGGTGGAGGTGGAGGCTATTCTGTGGGACCCTAGATGAAGGAAGGTAGTAGTCCTTGAACTCTGGATGGATGAAGGAGTATTGCCTGGGCTCTGAATGGAGGGAGAGGTTATTCCCGGAACCTGGATGGAGAGAGCTGGTATTATTCCCTGGACACTGGATGGTGGGAGGGGTCTTGACTGAGCTGTGGATGGAGTGGGGGGGGGGTATTCCCTGAATCCTTTATGGTGGGAGGGAGGGTGTATTCCCTGAACCCTGGAGGAGGGGGCAGGGTATTCTGTGGGACCTAGGTTGGAAGAACAGGGTATTCCCTGGGCCCTGGACGGAGGCAGGGGCATTCTGTGGGACCCAGGTTGGATGGAGAGGGTGTTCTCTGGATCCTGGATGGAGAAGCATTTATTTCTTGGACACTGAATGGAGAGAAGAGGTATTCGCTGGACTCTTGATGGAGGTAGCAGGTATTCCCTGTAGCCAGAATGGAGGGACAGGGTATCCCTTGGATCCTGGATGGAGGGAAGTGGTAGTCCGTGGGCTCTGGATGGAGGGAGGGGGTATTTTCTGGACCCTGGATGGAGGGAGCGGTTATTCCTAGGGTAGTGAATGGAAAGAGAAGGAATTCTCTGCACCCTGGATGGAGGGAGAAGGTATTCCCTGGGCCCTGGATGGAGAGAGGAGGTGTTCCCTGGATGCTACATGGAGGGAGAGGTTCTTCCCTTGGACCTAAATGGAAGGACTAGGTACTCCCTGGACCTTGAATGGAGGGAGAAGCATTCCATGGGACCCAGGATTGAAGGAGTATTACCTGGACCTTGGATAGTGGAGAGATTGTTCCTGAATCCTGGAAAAAGCTGGCTCTATTCTGTGGGACACTGGAGAGTATGGAGGTATTCTCTGGATCCTGGATGGAGGTAGGGGGCATTCCCTGGGCTCTACATGGAGGGAGAGGGTATTTCCTGGACCCTGGATGGAAGGAGTGGTTATTCCTTGGGCACTGAATGCAGAGAGGAGGTATTCCCTGGACCCTACGTAGAGGTAGGGTATATTCCTGGGCTCTGAATGGAGGGAGGGGGTATCCTTGCATGCTGGAAGGAGTGAGGTGACATTGCTTGAACCCTCTAGGAATATGGGGCTATTCTGAGGGACACTGGATGGAGGGTGGGGCTATTTCCTGAACCCTGTATAAGGGAGGGGCATTCTTGGGTCCCAGGATGGAGGGAGGCAGTATTCCCTGGGTCCTGAATGGAGAGACATGATATTCCCTAGACCCTAGAGAGAGAGGGGGGTGGGGGTTTCCTCGACCCTGGATGAAGGGATGGCAAATCCCCAGAACCTTGATGGAAGGAGACTGTGTCCCCTAGGACATGAAAGGAAGGAGTTTTCCCTGGACCCTGGATGGAGGTAGAGTGATTTCCTGAATCCTGGAGGAGGGTGGGACTATTCTGTAGGACACTAGATAGAGGAAGAAATATCGTTGGGACCCTGGGAAGAGGGAATGGTATTCCCTGGACTCTCAGTGGAGGGTGGGGGTATCCCCTGAATCCTTTATGGAGGAACTGAAAATCCCTGGACTGTGGATGGAAGGAGGGTGTATTCCCTGAACCTTGGAGGAGGGTGGGGCATTCCCTGGGACCCAGGTTGGAGGGACTGAGTATTCCCTGGATATTGGATGGAGGGAGGAGGTATTCCTTGGACACTGGATGGGGGGAGGGAGTATACTCAGGACCCTGGGTAGAGGGTCTGGGTATTCATTGAACCCTGGAGGAGTGTGGGGCTATTTTGTGGGACCCAGGATGGAGGGAGGGCATATTACGTGGAACTGGATGAAAGGGGGTTGTATTCCCTGGAACCCTGGATGGACAGAGCAGGTATGCCCTGGACGCTGGATGGAGTGAGAGGGTTTTCCTTGGGACCCTGGAAAATGCATAATTTATCTGCTCCTTAGAAACCAAATAGTAT